TATAGTACAGTATAGTATCTAGAGTTTCAAGTTAGATCCTTTGATCCTTTTCTTTTTTTCTTTTTTTCTGAGGTGGAGTCTCAGTGTTGCCCAGGCTGGAGTTCAGTGGCACAATCTTGGCTCACTGCAACTTCTGCCTCCTGGGTTCAAGCAATTCTCCTGCCTCAGGCTCCCAAGTAGCTGGGATTACAGATGCCTGCCACCACACCCAGCTATTTTTGTATTTTTAGTAGAAGCAGGGTTTTGCCAAATTGGCCAGGCTGGTCTTGAACTCCTGACCTCAAGTGATCCACCCACTTCAGCTTCCCAAAGTGCTGAGATTACAGGCGTGAGCCACTGCACCTGGCCAAGTTAGACCTTTTTAATATTCTCTTTAAAATATGTCTTGGCACCACATCCTAGAAGCTTAGAAACTTTGCTACATATTTTTGCAATATATTCATCTTAGAAACGTGAATAATGCCTTTAATCTCACTTTGATTCCACTGAGTACTGAAAGGGGTGGATACACACACATACACAGATAACATAAAACACAAGCAACCACACTGAAAATATCAAGTGCATTTTTTAATCATTTGTGGTGATCTCATATACCCTGTATCATAGATACTACAGATTAAAGATTCTATCTACAGTAGACACTTTCTGGGAGTTGCTACATGGGAATTCTAGAGGAATGCTATAATGTTTATATTCTTTGAAATCTGTATCCACAAGTAATTCATTGTGGAAACCCAAATAAGCCTTTAAAGTATTTAAAATAAAGTTTCCAACCTCATACCAAAATGAAAAGTGATTTTTCTGTTCATGTTTTCATTCCTTTCCAAGTATATACTGTAAAGAATTTATCATTAATAAGGCTTTACATACAATCATTATGTAAGCCATGAGTTGTTACTTCCCGCTGATAGCTTTAAACTACTGAAGCTTTACTTTCTTATTAAACACTAAGCAGAAAGACTCTTCTGAGGCATATGAAAGCCAGTTACCTTCTGGCCTCTTGTGAAAAATTTAATAGCCAAATTTTATCTAAGTGAATGATAAAACCTATAGTCCTAAAATTTGTTATTTTTTAAAGAGGAATCGTGGCAGGGGATGGTGGCTCATATCTGTAATCCCAGCACTTTGGGAGGCTGAGGTAAACAGATTGCTTGAGTCCTGGAGTTCGAGACCAGCTTGAGCAACTTGATGAAACCCTATCTCTACAAAAAAAAAAAAAAAAAAAAAAATACAAAAATTAGCTGGGAATGGTGGTACACATTTGTAGTCCCAGCTACCCAGGAGGCTGAGGTGAGAGGATTGCTTGAGCCTGGGAGGTGGAGGTTGCAGTGAGCCTGAGATTGTGCCACTGCAGTCCAGCCCAGTCTGGGCAATAAAGTGAGATCCTGTCTCAAAAAAATAAAAAATAAAAAAAGGGAACCATGATCTAAAACTACCAGGTATCAACAGATTAATCATCTGAAAGCATTGCTATTTTATTATCCCTTTGCATGAAAACCATCCATGGGCTGGGTGTGATGGCTCACACATATAGTCCCAGCATTTTGGGAAGCTAAGGCAGGCAGATCACTTGAGGTCAGGAGTCAAAGCCAGCCTGGCCTACATGGCAAAACCCCATCTCTGTTAGAAATACAAAAATTAGCCGGGTGAAGTGGTGTGCGCCTATAAAGCTACACGGGAGGCTGAGGCCTGAGAATTGCTTGAACCTGGGAGATGGAGGTTGCAGTGAGCTATCGCACCATGGCACTCCAGCCTGGGCAACAGAGCACGACTCCGTCTCAAAAAAATAAAAATTAAAAAAAAAAACCGTTCATGATTTACCAGTGAAGATACACTCAGCCTCCTTAACTTGCAATTGGCAGTTCTTCCCCATCTTGCTCAATCTTAACTTCTGAGTATCACATTAAAAACTACATCCTAGCCAATCTGGACCTCCAATTCTCCAAACCCATGATAGCTACTCACCAGCTGAATGTCAGACTCTGGAAAGTGGAGTTGCTACTTCAACAAGATGCATCTGGTTGGTTTCCCCTTCGGGCTTTGCTGCAGATATTCAGCGGTTGCTTATTGACACAGGCAAAGAAAGCGTTTCCCTACCACAGCACTATCAGGCTCTAAGGAGTTGAATATGGCTGTCCTTGGAAGGCCAAGGAAATTCTCAGAGCATGAAATGAGGTGGAAAAATCTAATTATTCTAATCTCACCTGACTACAGTGTTAAGTCACCTGACTAGGGCTCTACACCTGACTAGAGCAAAAGAAAGAGGCCAGTAGGAAAATGACAGCAGGAAGAAAGTCATTTCAACTTTCTTTCGCTTCTCCTTTATAGTAACTGAAGCCTTGGTGAATGAGATAATTACACACTGTTTTTTTATAATGTCTCAGGCTAATCATTATTTCCTACAAAGTCTCTAGCCAATTCTCTAATTTTCTAAAGATGGGTAATAGCTCAGGAAATTATACTAGTGGGTTATAGCTGAAATCGACTTGATCTGGACAGTCTCATAACAAAACTACTTTCACATATTTAATAAAACTCATTGTAGGTGAAAGTTACTGAATGAAAGCCGAGTAATAGTTATAAAAGAAAAGAAAAAAGTTTTCCTTATCATTGCAATTATTTTTAATTAAGAAATGGCAATGACAAATAATTGCTAGTTATCATTATCATATAATAAAAATATTTTTAAAATCTGGGGTACAATACACTAAAGTTTTGAGAAAATATATTTTTCTATAGTCTATTCAGATAAATAAACTTTAAAACTGTGTATTAAAAGGTCTCTGTGGCCACGTGTGGTGGCTCACACCTGTAATCTCAGCACTTTGGGAGGCCTGGGCAGGTGGATTACCCGAGGTCAGGAGTTTGCGACCAGCCCGGCCAACATGGCGAAACCCTGTCTCTACTAAAAATATAAAAATTAGCTGGGTGTGGTGGCATGAGCCTGTAATTCCAGCTACTTGGGAAGCTAAGGCAGGAGAATCACCTGAACCGAGGAGGTGGAGGTTGCAATGAGGTGATCACTCCACTGCATTCCAGCCTGGGTGACAGTAAGACCCATCATCTCAGAAAAAAAAAAAGTTCATGCAGTGGCTCACTCCTGTAATCCCAGCACTTTGGGAGGCCAAGGCGGGTGGATCACTTGAGGTCAATAGCTTGAGACCAGCCTGGCCAACATGGTGAAACTCTTGTCTCTACTAACACTAACATAAAAAAATTAGCCAGGCATGGTGGCGAGCTCCTGTAATCCCACTTACTTGGGAGGCTGAGGCAGGAGAATCGCTTGAACCTGGGAGGCAGAGGTTGCAGTGAGCCAAGAATGCGCCACTGCACTCTAGCCTGGGTGACAGAGTGAGACTCTCTCTCCAAAATAAATAAATAAAGGTCTTTGTGGATTTAAAATTAATCACATAATTAAATCTGATTCTGAAAAGTAAAACAGCTTAGTGTCATGCTTGTCCTACAAATTACCAAAAAGAAAATGCTAACACATACACATACTTTATGTGCTTAGTATAACCAGTATAATGCTAGTTATGACCATTTTGTACCTAGCACCAACCTAAAAAAGAAAATATCTGCTTAAATATCTGTGAAAAGAAGAAAAAAAATTCATTTAGAAACACTTAAGTGGTTAATGCTTTTTAAACTTTTTAAATCAATATGAATTTTTAGCTCAAAAAAATAAAGAACAAATTAAAATGACTTTTCAGGACATTGCCTGTAGAGAAGAACACTAATGTTTGCTGCTGTCAAATGTGAAATCCAATAGCACAGCCACAAGGACACAGAATTCATTTGCTTTATAATGATGCTATTACTGTTTCTTAAAACATCTCAAGCAAAACCCATTACAATTCCTGACATAAAATTTAAATGGGAAAAATTTTTTAAGTACTACAAACTCTAAATCTGAATTTGAGTAGCAAAAAAGATAATTACATGCCACAAACACCGAAAAGTAAGTTAAAGAGAAGTAACATTTACTACACGCCTACATCCCTCGCTTAATCCTCACGATGCCCTGATCATGGTCCCCATTTTACAGATGAAACGGCGGCCCCAGGAGACTGAGTAACTTGCCATGGAGCCAGTCTGGCTCAAGACTCTTTTTAAACACTATACTACTTGCTTCTTTTCTTTTTTTTTGAGACAGAGTCTTCCTTTTGCCCAGGATGGAGTACAGTAGCCCAATCTCAGCTCACTGCAGCCTCTGCCTCCCAGGTTCAAGCAATCCTTGTGCCTTGGCCTCCTGAGTAGCTGGGACTACAAGCGTGCACTGCCACACGCAGGCCCTACTTGCTTCTTAAATAGAAAGTTACTCCACAGAGGCTGGGTGCAGTGGCTCACGCCTGTAATCACAGCACTCTGGAAGGCCAAGGCAGGTAGATTACCTGAGGTCAGGAGTTTGAGACCAGCCTGGACAACAGGGTGAAACCCTGTCTCTACTAAAACTACAAAAATCAGCCAGGTGTGGTGGCATGCACCTGTAATCCCAGCTACTTGGGAGGCCGAGTCAGGAGAATGGCTTGAACCCAGGAGGTGGAGGTTGCAGTGAGCTAAGATTGTGACACTCATTGCGCTCAGCCTGGGGTGACAAGGGCAAAACTCTGTCTCAAAAAAAAAAAGAAAAAGAAAAAGAAAAAAGTTACTCCACAGAGAATGTAATGGAAATTACATTTCAATACACAGATGACCCTTAAACAAGGGTCTGAACTGCATCAAGTCCATTTACTCACAAATTTTTTCCAACCAAACTTGGATTAAAAATACAGTATTCACAGGATGCAAAATCTGCTTATGTGCAAGGTGGAATTCTCCCACGCATAGGCTCTACAGGGCTGACTGAGGGAGTTGAGTGTGTGTAGATTTGGGTATACATGAGATCATCCTGGAATCAATCCTCTGCAGATACTGAGAAACAAGTATGTCTATTTTCTACGTGAAGTCGGGAGTTCTCAAAAGAGATGTGAAGGAATACTGCGAATATCACATTGTAGTTAGAAACACGGTTTTATTTTTGAAAACAGAAAAATCGAACAATATTTAAAAAATACAATCTACTGATGTCATCATATTTGGCTTGGAATACCTAAGAATGCAGTAACTAAAGTGTCTGTTCTAAAAACACAAACATTTTTTTATATCAGTACCAACCCACTTTAAGGTATATGTAAATAAGAGAACTTTGCTTGAAAAATACAAATATACATATTCAAGAGCACTACCAAATTCTGAAGCTAATGTATTCATTGCCAGCATATTATGCACAATTAAAAGTCATTTTAAATGTTTTCTAAACAGGGACTGATGTGGATATCAACAACGGTTTCATCCTAAAACTGAGTTTTAGCATTTGTTTAATACAGTTTATCTATTTAGTTAAAGCACATTACAATAATCTTTTACTGTTCCTTGTGGCGAGTTTATTTTCATTTTTTTAGAGATGGAATCTTGCTACATTGTCCATGATGGATTCAAAATCCTGCGCTCAAGAGATCCTCCTGCCTCAGCCTCCTGAGCAGCTGGGACTACAGGAATGCACTCACACTCCACAGCTGACGTTGTAATAAAGTGCCACTGAGTATCAGACTGAAAACATCCCAGAACTTTAGACCAGGTAAAGGGAGCCAATGAGAAGATCATGAAAAGTGACATCAGATGAAAGTTGAGATCTGTGAAAGTTTCAAACCAGTTTTTCCTAGTAGTCCACAGATGATTTGATAAGGTAAGACCAGTTCTTTACACAACATAGCAGCCATTATGTTTGAGTACTAACATTTCTTTTCCCATTGGTATCTGTGAAATTTTCTGTTCTGTTACTTTTTATGGATTCTAACAAGACTTTGATTTTTTCACTTGTAGCCTTTTTGCTTTTCTTCTTGCCAACGGATTTTCTGTTTGCTCCAGATGGTAGCAGCAGGGCTACCAGGCCCCAGGACCGATTGCCTGATGTGTCAGGTCCATCTAGATCTTCCTGTTGTAAAATCCAGGTACTTTCTTGGGCCAGATGTACAAATTTTTGCAGCTGGCTTTGATTTACATTTTTGCTTATGTTAAGAGAAGTTTCAAATGGATTCTGAATGTACAGAGGAGAAGAATCAGGTTTGTTTTGCTCCCTTCCCTATAGATGATTACACAGAAGAAAAAGTGAGTAAGTATGTGAAGGGTTTATGATTACACCACTGCTCAGGTAAGAGGTATCTGCACTAAGTCAACCAACAAACGTATTTTTAAAATAATGTAACTTTTACCTAACAAGGTGGAGCATGAAAGGGGAAAAAATGATTAAAAACAGCAGAAGGAAGATGAAGATGTGTTTATTTCTGAGACTTGCTAAAAACATACCTATTATGTTGGAAACAGAAACACACCGAATTAGAAACCCTACTTTAAATATATTAATGTTTCCCAAGTATGAGATGAGGAAAAAAAAGAAGAAACAAAGGATTATTCATTATTTATTTAAAACACTAGAAAGTTTCCATTACATTCCTATAGATCCAACAATACAACAGGGCCCTGCCACATAAGATGGTATCTCATAAAAAGACGCCTGTAGTCCAAGCATTTTGGGAGGCTGAGGCAGGTGGATCACTTGAGGTGAGGAGTTCAAGACCACCCTGATCAACAAACTCGTGTCTTTACTAAAAGTACAAAAATAGCCAGGCGTGGTGGCACATGCCTGTAGTTCCAGCTACTTGGGAGGCTGAGGCAGGAGAATCACTTGAACCCGGGAGGCAGAGGTTTCAGTGAGCCAACATCATGCCATTGCACTCCAGCCTGGGCAAGAGAGTGAGAATGTCTCAAAAAAAAAAAAAAAAAAAAAAAAAAAAAAAAAAAAAAGATACGCTAAAGCTATGAATCATGTGACCAACATAAGCCATTAGTCTATATATCTTTTCCTCTTTCAAACGATACCATAAATATTAATTAGTATTACAAAGCCAACGGTCAGAATTCCCCAATGTAAGCAGCAACTGTTTATTCCCTAACATTTCATGGTTGGCACCTCTGAACTCTGGATTACAAAAAGGGCAAAGAATTTTGTATGTTTGATGACCTTTTCCTTCTAGATTGCATCTGCAGTGCTTTCTCTCTCCTTTTTCCAATCTTTTATTTTGACAAAGAGTCCATGAGAAGGATAAGAGGGAAGAATGAGAAAAGGAGAGGTGAAGAAGTAAGGAGAAAGAATATCTGGGTTTGTGTTTTATGAAGCCGATGTGGTCAGGTTTGTAACCAAGTAGCCAAATGCTAAACAGAATAAACCCAAACAGAGGACTATCGCAAGTCATTTCCCACTTGTAAACAAGTTTTGTCTAGGCTTCTGCCTGACTGATTTTCTTTTTTAAAATAAGAAATATCTTTCATCCCAGCTGCTCAGAGAAATCCAAATCATAAGTTCATTTGCTCTAAAAAAAAAAAAAAAAAAAAAAAAAAAAAAAAAAAAAAAAAAAAAAAAAAAAACCACACACACACACATCTAAATCCTGAGGGCTCAAACTGAGGGAATCACTGAAATCTATCTTTGGGACTTAAATTTATTCCATAGACACAAATCCAGTTTAAAAACAACTGTATGTAAATTATATTTTTCCGAAAACTTTCTAGAATGTATTCCACATCGTGAGGCAAATAGCATTAGCACTAAGTGAGGACAGAAGTCCCATAAGCATAATGACAGAGGCAGATGCCAAAGAGCCGGCTTTTGCTCTTAGTACAACATGATGACTGATCTTACTCAAGTCACGTGACTTCTCTGGCCATCAACCTCCTGGTTACCACCCATTACCGTAGAAAAGAAAGAAAATTACATTTATTAGAGTGTTTTGAAAACAGTTAATTAAATATTAGTACAGTGGAAGACCAGATTCTAATAACTAAATAATAAAACATTTCTTACCTGTCGAATATTTATGGAATTTTTATTGAAAGCAAAATTGCCAAAATATTCAAAAAATTCCTTCAGTAGTATTTCTGTAAGAAAATAAAATAAGGGCAATCAGCAGAAAGCCTATTTCAATCCAAAAAGGATCAAGTGAAAAGAAAAACACTTACCTAATGTTTCTGTGTTCTCTGAAGGTTTAATTCTATTCAAGTCACGAACAAATGTGCAGTTGTTGCCTTCTATTATACATTTATCTTCTGCATCTTAAACACAAATGAAAAGTATTTCTTTTTTCCCCCCCGCCGAGACAGACTCTCGCTCTGTTGTCCAGGCTGGAGTGCAGTGGCATGATCTCTGCTCACTGTAGCCTCCGCCTCCCAGGTTCCAGCAATTCTCCTGCCTCAGCCTCTCGGGTAGCTGGCATTATCGGTACATGTCACCAGGTCTGGCTCATTTTTGTATTTTTAATTGAAACAAGGTTTCACCATGTTGGCCAGGCTGGTCTCAAACTCCTGACCTCAGGTGATCTGGCTGACTCATCCTCCCAAAGTGCTGGGACTACAGGCGAGAGCCACCATGTCTGGCCTATTTCACAGGTTTCAAAGATATTCCATACCTCATAATAAAAATCTATGATTGAAATAAATTTAAGGCTGAGCACGGTGGCTCACACCTGTAATCCCAACACTTTGGGAGGCCGAGGCAGGCAGATCACTTGAGGTCAGAAGTTGGAGACCAGCCTGGCCAACATGGTGAAACCCATCTCTACTAAAAATACAAACATTAGCTGGGCATGGTGGCATATGCCTGTAATCCTAGCTACTGGGGAGGCTGAGGCATGAGAATCGCTTGAACACAGGAGATGGAGGTTGCAATGAGCTGAGATCAGGCCACTGCACTCCAGACTGGGCAACAGAGTGAGGAGTCTAAAAAAACAAAATAAAACAAACAAACAAATTTAAATAAATTTCTACTCTATTCTTTATTTAAATCATAGATTTTATAAATGATTGAATAATTATGATTTAATAATGATTTAATCTATGATTTCTTGTCTGACTTGATGTTAATTTCACTATGGTATAACTAATCTCAAATTTTTTTATCTTCTTTTAATGGAGTTAAATTTAAAAAAAGATTTGAGACTAGTTATACCACAGTAAAATTAACATTTAATTTAGCATAATAGAATTATTGTCTATCAACAACCCAATGATTCCTAATCAATTTTTGAGGTAATCAGTTTTCTAGTAGTAGATGAAAATGTAGAGAGTTCCCCCATCATCCACCAAACTAAATTCTGGCACTATCTTTAAGTCAATACTCAATTTACATCTCCAAATTCCATTCTTACCATTTTCATTCATGACGCAAACTGAATGCTAACTGAAAAAGCTTCAGGTAATTTCTAAAACGTAGCACTCTAGAGCAGGCGTCCCCAAACTACGGCCCTGCGGGCCGCATACGGCCCCCTGAGGCCATTTATCCGGCCCCCCGCCGCACTTCAGGAAGGGGTACCTCTTTCATTGGTGGTCAGTGAGAGGAGCACAGTATGTGGCGGCCCTCCAAAGGTCTGAAGGACAGTGAACTGGCCCCCTGTGTAGAAAGTTTGGGGACGCCTGATCTAGAGTAACTGGAATTCGGTAATTCAGTAACACAAACTCAGTAACAGCACATTAGACTCAGGCGTTCACCTTTCCTACTAGTATTTATATCTTTAGATGTATTCATTTTCCTAATTATTGATAAATACACAATCACCGTGAAATCCATGGCCCATGCTATCTACAATAGATAATAAGCTGTTTTCAAGAGCAAATTCCTACTCTTCAGAAATCTCGTCAACGGCTCCTTCCTATCTAGAAGTATTTGGTAATTCCAAACTGGTTCTCCATCCTTTTTGCTCCACTCACCATGTGCACTTGTCTGACTGCACTCTGACTGTCTGCATGCTGTCCACTCTGTGCCCCAGTCTGGAACTACAGAAGTCACTCTCCTATTCATTATTGCCCACCTCCCCACCACCTATCTGCCCCCAACAGGCATCTAGCATATAGCAGGCATATAATCAATAATCTGAATGACTGCTGGTAAATTTTTATTTTTATTTTTTAAAATTCTTTTGAGATAGAGTCTGGCTCTATCACCCAGGCTGGAGTGCAGTGGCACGATCTCAACTCACTGCAACCGCCTCCCAGGTTCAAGCAATTCTCCTGCCTCAGTCTCCTGAGTGGCTGGGATTACAGGTGAGCACCACCATGCCCGGCTAATTTTTGCATTTTTAGTACAGACAGGGTTTCACTATGTTGGCCAGGCTGGTCTTGAACTCCTGACCTCAAGTGATCTGCCCGCCTTGGCCTCCCAAAATGCTGGGATTACAGGCATGAGCCACCACACCCAGTCCTGATATTTGATTTTAAATGCCTGTAATCACCAGAAAGATAAATAAGACTCCTATACATTTCTGTCTCTCATTTTTGTGGTTTTTATTTATTTATTTTTTTGTCAAGACCTGGTTACTTACGTAATTTCTCAAAAATTATTCTACGTTCTAACATATTTTAAACAGCACATTTTATGTGTTCTACTATACAATTTATAGTATGCTGAAAGAGCTATATAGTTAGTGTGTGTGTGTGTGTGTGTTTGTGTGTGTGTGTATTTCTACTTAGATCCATTTTTTAGGAACCTGGGCACATGTATTACTATGTCAAATGATTAACAGTTTGTCTTTTTGTGATGCAGTGCTAGTCACATATATTGATGCTCTTTTAGCTGCTGTGTCTTTTTTCAGGAATGAATCTTCCATTAAAGCACTAAGCACAGAAGTAAATGTAAGAAAAGCTGCGAAGTCAGAAAGCATGGAAAACACAAGAAAATAAAAGACATGAGAGAAAGTAATGGAGATTATAGAAAACACAAAGAAACAGAACAATTCAAGAGGAACCAAATATGAAAGCTAACATCATGGTCCATCTTGCTCAGTACAAACAGCCCTCAACTTTAAAATGGTCATCCAATCGTTTCGAAATCTATACAGTGAACTCCTGCTATGAACCCAATACTATGCCAGGAATAGAAGATGCAGAGATGAAGCAAAGACAGCCAGCCCCAGAAAAGCTTGACCACACTGAGGCAGGTAGATAAAAGAACTACAACAATCTAACAGTTGTTACAATATAGATGTGTACCAAGGGCTTGGAAACCAAGAAAGCACTACCCACTGGGAAGCAGAGAGCATGGCAAGAAAAGACCTAACAAATGAGATCCTGTACTGGGTTTGTGTGTCTTCTCTGGCTTAATCTTGAGGAGGTTCTCCATTGAAAAGGGGGAGCAGGGAGAAGGCCACTTCAGGCAAAAGCATGGAGCAATGAAAAAAAGCATGAAACATCTGAGGCTCATCAAGGAGATCAGGAGTGGCTCAAGCTTCCAACCGGTACACAGGAATCAATTTAAGAGAACAGGATGAAAAGGCTGATAGAGGGCCCTGCACACAATGCGAAAAAGTTTGGTCTTTATCTTAGCTTAGGTTCTAAACAGTACTTTACAAAGTCCTAGACGTTCTGGAAGATATTCTAGAAATTCATGCTGCCTTCTATTAATAAACAAGCAAGGAAGCAAAGTATTTTTTTCTTTTAAAAAAGAACAAATTAATACTTTATTTGTACATCAAATGAGAGATACAGCTTAGAAGAAATGAAATGGTTGTACAGAAGATTCAAGTCACTTAGATGATTAAATGCAGAGTATTCAAGATGGGTTTTTTATTGTTTCACAGTTTAAAATTGTTTTCTTCCTTAGGTTTAATGTCCACCAATGTTGAACTACTGGTAAAAATTAGAAAGTATAAAAACCATGGATTTTGAAAAAAGAAAAAGGAGGAGGAAAATGTTGATAAATTCTCCTCAAAATGATCTTCACCACATTTTTAACACACATTAATCTAAGACAAGTTATTTTATAGCAACTTCAAAAACCACAGGTGACAGAAAGCAAAAAGCTATCAAATTTTGCTGGGCATTTACTGGCAATTCGCACCTACAATGTGCTATATGCCAAGCAGCAATTGCAAAAAATAGTCTGAAAAATTATCTTACTGTATTTAAAAACTAGCACAAAAGTTTCAAAACAGTCAAATTTGATGTTTCAAGTGAAATATTAAAGAATTCCAAGCTAGTTTTGCTTGTTTTGATGCCGTAAGATGTGAACACATTTAAATTTATTTTAAAGCAGATTTGGACTAAAAACTCAACAGGTCATTTAAAATTTGTGCACATATCCTATTCTCTTCCTAAAATAATTAGTGGAAGCTAGGCACAGTAGCTCATGCCTATAATCCCAGCACTTTGGGAGGCCGAGAAGGAACACTTGAGCCTGGGCTCAAGGAATTTGAGACCAGCCTGGGCAATACAGTGAGACCCCATCTCCACAAATTTTTTTTTTTTTTAATTAGCTGAGTGAGTGGTGGCACAAGCCTGTATATCCCAGCTACTCAGCAGGCTGAGGTGGGAGAATCACTTAAGCCTGGGAGGCAGAGGCTGCAGTGAGCCAAGACTGCACCACTGCACTCCAGCCTGCCTATAAGGCAGAGCACAGTGGCTCACGCCTGTAATCCCAACACTTTGCAAGACCAAGGTGGGAGAATCCCTTGAGCCCAGTTCAAGACCAGTATAGGAAACAGCAAGACCCCGTTTCAACAAAAAATAAAAAAATTAGCCAGGTGTGGGGGTGCGTGCCTGCAGTCCTAGCTACTCAGGAGGCTGAAGTTGGAAAATTACTTGAGCCAGGGAGGTCGAGGCTATATGAGCTGAGATTGTGCCACTGCAATCCAGCCTGAGCAACAGAGCAAGATCCTTTCTCAAAATAAATAATAAACAAAATTTTTTAAAAATCAGACATTTTAAAAAAAGATAATAGAAAGTTACTGAAGGACTGAAAAGGAGAATAATACTGTCATTATTTTTGCAAATCACTCTGTTAACTAAGAATGGATTGATGGGAACCAAAATGGAGATAAGTGAGAAAGACAGTAGAAACTTTCCCAGGCAGAGAACAGGGGCCTGACATGGGCAGGGGTGGCAGGACTTTTAAGACCGAGGGAGGCAACCAAGACGCTCAGGAGTAGCCTACCCCAGTGTCGACTTTCTTCCGCTCCTCTTTTTTACACCTACTGTTTCTTAGTTTCTGAACTCCAAAAGTTCTGTGATTTTTCCGCATGATGGTTTCTATGAGATTAGCAGTAAGCATCAGTGCACACAGCAGGTAGTTTAGCAGTGAAGATTTGCCCATATCTTATGTATGCCTTACCTCTCCACTAGATTGTGAGTTATCTGAGAATACTGTTCATATCCCCACTCCTCCAGTAACACCTGACGCATAGAAGTAATCAGTAAATACTGAATGAATGACACTAAGGGCTGAAATGAGCTCAGATATGCATGTTGCCATTTTAATTTTAAAAGTGAGATACATGACCACCACTCTACCCCACTGAAAACTTTCCATTTTCCCTTAACCTATCAAATCTAGATTTTATTTCTTTTTTTAGGCTAGTCAAGTGAAGCAGTGGGAGTGGAGAAGGAACAAAGACATTTGTAACTGGTTGTGATTAGTTGTAAACACAAATTGAGCTTTTTTAAAGGTCAATTTCAAACTACATCAAACACTTACAGTGTTGACAGGAAGAGATCACTTCTAAAGTGGATAATGAGGGATGGTAGCGTGGAAGAAATAATTTAATCTGGGAGAAAAAAAGCAGACTCCAGGCAGAAAACAGTGTGAACAAAGAGCTACAATGAAACGTTCCAAGAGTAATCACAGCACTGGCTGGAATGTGGAACACATGAAGAGAAGCAGAGGAGAGGCTGGAAAACTGGGCTGTGTCTAGAGAGCTAAAGATTTTAAACACCAAGCGATGGAAATAGTTTGAGGTCTATTCTATATGGAATAATCCCTTTTAAGGTTATTTTAAATAGGAAGATTCAAGAAAGCATTCAATCGAATTATCAGGCAGCAATTATATCAGATGGGTAGAAGACAGAGCATGCATTTTCAATGTATGTACCCCTTAATTATCTTCCTTTCAGCATTTACAATTGCAAGATTTTATAATATAACTTCTCCAGCAGGTCTCAGCAAGGCTGAGACATAAGAATCACCTGAACTTGGGAGGCATTTATAAAATCATTCATAATACAAACTAAATAGTATGTCAAATTTAAAATAACACACCTAAGACTGATTATAAACTTTTAATTAAAAACACATTTAGAATCTTTGAAACATCATGAAACAGTTTTAGTATCTCTAACCCAAGTCTAAACACAGGTTCAGATCTGAAAGTCATCTCCGAGACTGTGATCCAATCAAAAGTTGTATCTGAAGAAGCTGCATCTGAAAAGGTCATTCTAGACTCGGCCAACTGGGGGAGAAGCTCCAGCGACCTCATGACTGTGGTGAACAACCTCGCCAACTGACTCAAAGAAAACAGAACTCTCAAAAATCCTAAAGGCCCTAGCCTCCCAAATTATCTGCTCTCATGACTCCGGTAGGCTTTAAATAATAATAATAATTCTAATGATAAAAAGTTTAGATTCACAAGGCTTTAAAAGTCAAGACAAATTTTGTGACTAAGAGAAAAAACAGACGGGGCTTTAGCAACACATTGTAATTATATTTGCTCCTAACATCAGAAAAAGAAAATGGAGAAGTTTTTCTTTCTAGTCTTACCTGCTAGGGTTTGTAAGGAGTCCAGTGTTGGAAGAACAGGGGGTGATCTTGTCTGGAGAAAAAAGATGACCATCATTGTAAGGGAGAAATTTGTAATCCATGCACCAGGAATACTGCTTGTTAGTAAATGTGCTCGAGCCCAGCATCGTACAGTGAACACCAAGGCTCTCACTCTTGAGTCTAGGGCACCATATATATAAAGGAGTTCAGAACTTGTCAAGGCAATCCTTCAAAAATAAAAACAGAAAAATTTTCAAATCCCCAAATTATAAACTAGGGGTAAAATTAAACATATGCCAGGAAACATATCTAAACATCCTACTATATCTGAATATATTCAGAATATCATATTAGGCAATCAAAAGCATTATGAATTTGCAATATAAAATTTAGTATTAATGACTGAATATCAAATACAATTATTCCCATTAAAATATCCTCTTAATCCTCTTAAAATTGATAATTAAAATATAGGCTGGGCACGGTGGCTCAAACCTGTAATCCCAGTACTTTGGAAGGCTGAGGCGGGTAGATTACTTGAGACCAGGAGTTCAAGACCAGCTTGGCCAACATGGTGAAACCCCTTCTCTACTAAAAATACAATAAATTAGCCAGGCACGGTGGTGTGCGCCTGTAATTCCAGCTATTCAAGAGGCTGAGGCACAAGAATTGCTTGAACGCAGGAGGCAGAGGTTGCAGTGAGCTGAGATCGAGTCACTGCCCTCCAGCCTGGTGAAAGAATGGAAAAAAAAAAAAGAAAAAGAAAATGTAGATCTAGGGCCGGGTGTGGTACTCACACCTGTAATCCCAGCACTTTGGGAGGCCAAGGTGGATGGATCACTTGAGGTCAGGAGACAAGACCAGCCTGGCCAACGTGATGAAACCCCATCTCTACTAAAAATAAAAAAATTAGCTGGGCGTGGTGATGCATGCCTGTAATCCTAGCTACTTGGGGGGCTGAGGCAGGAGAATCATTTGAACCCAGGAGGTGGAGGCTGCAGTCAACTGAGATCACGTTATTGTACTCCAGCATGGGCAACAGAGCAAGACCCTACTTCCAAAAGAAAAGAAAGAAAATGTTCTAGAACTTAGAATTTTTAAATCAAAGTTTCTAAACATGATTTTAAATAATAAGTAAAACACACAAAGCTCTTTATAATTATTAATAAATGGCCGGGCACAGTAGCTCATGCCTGTGATCTCATGCACTTTAGGAAGCTGAAGCAGGCAGACAGCTTGAGCTGAGGAGTTCAAGACCAGCCTGGGAAACATGAGGAGACCTTGTCTCTACAAAAAATACAGAAGTTAGCTGAGTGTGGTGTCACACACCTTAGGCCCAGCTACCTGGGAGGCTGAGGTGGGAGAATCACCTGAGCCCAGGGAGGTCAAGGCTGCAGTGTGCCAAAATTGAGCCACTGCACTCTAGTCTTGGCAACAGAGTAAGATGTCATTTCAAACTATATATACATAAACATATATATACATATGTATATGTACATACATATACATACATATAATCGATAAAGACAGAGAGGTGTTCGTTGGCCAGGCATGGTGGCTCACTCCTGTAGTCCCAGCACTTTAGGAGGCCAAGGCAGGCAGATAGCTTGAGCCTAGGAGTTCGAGATCACCCTGGTAACACAGTAAGACCCTGTCTCTATAAATATAAAAAATGTATATATAAAATAAAAACAAAATTTAAAAAATTTAATTTAAAAAAGATAGGTGTGGTGGCATGCATCTGTAATCCTAGCTGCTCGGGATTACAGATGCATGCCTGAGAAAGGAGGACTGTTTGAGCCCAAGAGTTCAAGGCTACAGTGAGCTATGATCACACCACTGCACTTCAGCCTGGGCAACAGAGTGAGAAGCTGTCTCTAAAAAAGTAAAAACAGAATTAAAAATATTAAGTTCCTACTGATCAAAACATGTCTTACAATTTCTCAAAGAACCAACAAAGGGCACAAAAAATAATTTAACAGCATCAAGTTAAAACTGTCTCTGAAGTGGCATTTACATTTAAAAAGTAAAAAGAACAGACTAAATGCCCCAATCAAAAAGTAAAAAGAACAGAAGAAACAAGGCCAGGCGTCGTGGCTCACACCTATAATCCCAGCACTTTGGCAGGCCGAGGTGGGCGGATCATCTGAGGTCAGGAGTTCAAGACCAGTCTGGCCAACATGGTGAAACCCCATCTCTACAAAAATACAAAATTTAACCAGGCATGATCGAGTGTGCCTGTAATCCCAGCTACTCGCAAAGCTGAGGTGGGAATTGCTTGAACCCGGTAGGCGGAGGTTGCATTGCAGTGAACCGAGATCCTGCCACTGCACTCCAGCCTATGTGACTGAGCAAGCCTATGTCTCAAAAAAAATAAAGAAGAAACAGCAACTTAGAAATTCATGGTGAAGCCGGGCGCGGTGGCTCAAGCCTGTAATCCCAGCACTTTGGGAGGCCGAGGCGGGTGGATCACGAGGTCAAAAGATCGAGACCATCCTGGTTAACATGGTGAAACCCCGTCTCTACTAAAAAGTACAAAAAATTAGCTGGGCATGGTGGCACGTGCCTGTAATCCCAGCTACTCAGGAGGCTGAGGCAGGAGAATTGCCTGAACCCAGGAGGCGGAGGTTGCGGTGAGCCGAGATCGCGCCATTGCACTCCAGTCTGGGTAACAAGAGCGAAACTCCGTCTCAAAAAAAAAAAAAAAAAAAAATTCATGGTGATTATTTTATGAAAATGAAGCTAAATTAAGCTAAAAATAAATATCAAAAAGCATAAGGTATCGGATATAAAGAAGATTACACAATTACAAAGATAAATGTCATTTTGTCCTATTTTACATACTATAAAGAAAATACAATGATGATAAAAAGTACAGTGTATATCTTTATTTTCTATATTAAAATTTGACAAGAAATCACAGACTTTACTCCATAAGTTTGACTTGAGAGAAATTCAAAAATACTGAGGATTCGCTTGTTGGTGAACACGAGTTTAATCAAACTGCTCTAGCCTTGATTTTCTGAATCTATTTTCAGTAATGATTATTTATCTAACAAATAACTATAGAGAAACTGAACTCATGCAATGAGAATTTAGGAAATAAACTCAATTAAGAAATTTTTCCCTACTGTGGGCCAGGCTCAGTGGGAGGCGAAGATGGGTGGATCACATGAGGTCAGGAGTTCAAGATCAGCCTGGCCAACAGGGTGAAATCACATCTCTACTAAAAATACAAAAATTCACCCAGCATGATGGCAGGCACCTATAATCCCAGCTACCTGGAACGCTGAGGCACAAGAATAGCTTGAACCTGGGAAGTGGAGGTTGCAGTGAGCCAAGATCATGAGCCACATTGCACTCCAGCCTGGCCAACAGAGCAATACTATGTCTCAAATAATAATAATAATAAAATAAATTTTCCCTGTTATGAATCCAGGAAAAGTCATCAGTACAAAAGTAATTATTCCCACTCCACTTGTTTTTAGCAAACAAATGACTAGGATAATACAATACACATAGGCTGAACAAAAACCATCCAGTCTTAAGCTCTTCCAACCACTTTCGGACCTAAGTAAAGAGGACATTTGTTTAGTACACAAAGTTGACTATACATCTAAAGGCAATTCAAAGGTGAAATTCAAGTGGTTATTTTATTTTCTAAGTATTCTTAGAAGACTTATACTATAAATAGGAATCTTTCTTTTTTAATTGTACTTTTTTCTTTTTTTGCCATCAGAAATTCATGCTAAAAGGTAGGCCACCTTTCACACTACACACTACCAGGCTGCACAAAAATAATGAAATACATTTCTTCTTAGAGGTTAGATACATGAACATTTTAACACAATATCCTAACACTATTTAGGAACACCAAATTATCAAGTATAATATAAAAGATTTTTTACTTTTCAATCCAAGTGTTCGAAATTTTTAAAAATTATTGTTCAAGCATGTTTAAGATTCCAAAGCCACTGTTTCTGTATGAGAAAAACTAAGCTAATACATTAGAATATTCGTATTTAAAATAATAAACGTAAAGAGATGGTACCTATTGTTCGTAGTCAAATCACACTGAAATCCAGAGGCCTGGTGTGAGAACCTCACGAGCGGACAGCGAGCATTTAGTATTTTTTGCACACCCACACAGCCAGGGCTGAAGTTGTCAAGGCACTCTCCTAGCACAGACAGGATCTTCTGAGTTGCAATTCTTTCGGAAGGAACATTTTTCACTTGAAATTCCATCAGAAAATTTCCTGAGGTCTGAAAAATCAAAACATTTCTAAATAGGAGCTTTTGGTAAAAAATAATTCCTTAATAAACTTTTGTAAAAGGATGCTCTAAATCATTGCTGACAAAACTCTTCATGAAATCACAGCCAAAAGCAAACTTAAAAGGTCCTCAGTTGCCTTTTGCTTCTCCAGAATATAGAGGAATACAAAGCACTAACTTGAACAATTGCTGGTTTTTGTAATTATGAACTACAGTACAACATGAATCATAAAGTAATATGCACAGAACCACTCACTCTACACATTCAGTGAGCATACACTTACCCTTTCCTAATTGGCCATTATAATTTACACTATAAACCCACAGCAGTGAGGAAGTACAGGCACAAGAACAGTGTATCAGTAGAAGAAAACAGGCAGTATAAATAGGCTTGTATACAGCAATTTAATACTAATATTTAGGGCTGCAAATTACTAGGGGAAAATTCCTATTCAACATATGAGTTAAGTGGCCATCAAAAAAAAAAATAAACTAGATCCTTTGTTAAATACTAAAACTCACCGGGTGAGCTGGCTCACACCTGTACTCCTAGAGCACTTTGGGAAGCCAAGGCAGGTGGATCACTTGAGTCAAGAGTTTGAAGCCAGCCTGACCAACATGGTGAAACCCCATCTCTACTAAAAATACAAAAAAATTAGCCAGGCATGGTGGCCAGTGCCCGTAATCCCAGCTACTTGGGAGGTGGAGGCAGGAGAATCGCTTGAACCCAGGAGGCAGAGATTGAGGTGAGCCAAGATCACGCTGCTGTAATCCAGCCTGGGCAACAGAGTGAGACTCCATTTCAAAAAAAAAAAAAAAAAAAAAAAATTACTAAAACTCAGTTAAATTTGCTGAGTGTTTTGGCTCACACCTGCAATCCCAGCACTTTGGGAGGCAGGATCACTTGAAGTCAGGAGTTTGAGACCAGCCTGGCCAACACAGAAAAACCCTATCTCTACTAAAAATAGAGAAGGAAGAATCTCTTGAACCCGAAAGGTAGAGGTTGCAGTGAGTTGAGATCATACCACTGCACTCCAGCCTGGGCGATAGAGCAAGACTCCATCTCAAAAAAAATAAAAACCAAAAACAAAACTGAAGTAAATTCAACATGGATCAAAGACTAAAATGTAAAAAGTACATCAGTAAAGTACTACAAGACAAAGAGTTAATGCTTTTACAATCAGAGTAGGGAAGGACTTTGTAAGCATAACACAAATTTAGAGAAGACATAAAAGAAGTAATAAGATTGCATAAAAAATTAAAACCACCTTAAGGCAAAGCATATAATCACTACTAAAAAACAAGGCAAATAACACGTCATACAAACCAGTAATTTATGACAGTTTTATGCACATGAAAGGGGGAACCCATTACATTCTAAAAATGGGCAAAAAAGACAAAGAAAAATTGACAGAAGAAATAAAAATGGCTAAAAACCACAGTAAAAGTTGTGCATATTTTCTAGTAACTAAATAGAAATTAAAACAGCAATGAGATTTTTTATTTTTTAGTCCAACAAAGACAAACAGGTTGGTGACCAAAACTAATGGGTATGGGAAAACATGTATATACTGTTGACAGGAGTGTAAACAAGGGACATACTTCTTGTAGAACCTGTCCATATCTACTCAAACTTCTATAACAACGTCGGCTATTAAAATGGTTAGAAATTATGTCATTCCTTGAGAACTACTATCAATGTCCTTAAAAAAGAAAGAAAGAAAGAAAGAAAGAAAGAAAGAAAGAAAGAAAGAAAGAAAGAAAGAAATCATGTCAAAGGAATATTTGCACAGATGAGCCAATTTCCAAAGATGTTCACTCACCGCAGTACTAATCATGTGGTTATACACCTTTTGGGAGTTTTATCTAGCTTAATCAAGTTCCCTATCGACAACTTTTCCCTCTTCTAGAATTCCAACCTCCTTATTTACCATGGAAATCTATCTCTTTCCTTCCAGCTGAATGGATTGGGCAAGACAGCTGATCTAAGCACTGCAGGAGTGTACCCCACATTCATCTGGAGATCTTTACTGGGAACTGGTTACTGAGAACTGGAACTAAGGTTCAGAGGCAACCACGTGGCTAAAACACCTAACTCAGAAGCTTTGGGGCAGGCATATCTATATAAGCATTAAAAAGTAAAGAAAATCATTGGGGCTGGGGAGGAAGGAGTTAAGGACAGGGAGAAAGCAATAAATGAAGCAAAAATATGTAGACAGGAACAGAACACTTCCTGGGTTGTTTTGTTGTTGCTTTTGAAACAAGTATTGCCGGGCGCGGTGGCTCACACCTGTAATCCTAGCACTTTGGGAGGCCCAAGTGGGTGGATCACCTGAGGTCAGGAGTTCAAGATCAGCCTGGCCATCATGGAGAAACCCCAACTTTAAAAAAAAAAAAAAAAAGAAAGAAAGAAACAGGGTATCATAGGCTGTGTGTGGTAGTTCAAACCTGTAATCCCAACACTTTGAGAAGCCAAGACAGGCAGATTACTTGAGGTCAGGAGTTTGAGAACAGCCTGGTCAACATGGTAAAATCCCATCTCTACTAAAAATACAAAAAAAATTAGCTAGGTATGGTGGCTGTGGCCCCAGCTATTTGGGAGGCTGAGGCAGGAGAACTGCTTGAACCCTGGAGGCCTGGGTTGCAGTGAGTCGAGATTGTGCCACTGTACTCCAGCCTGAGGTGACAGAGAGAGGCTCAAAAAAAAAGGGAGGGTATCACTCTGTCACCCAGGCTGGAGTGCAGAGGTACAAAAACAGCTCACTGCCACCTCAACCTCCAGAGTAGCTGGAACTACAGGTACACACCACCACACCTGGCTAATTTTTTATTTTTAATAGAGACATGGTCTCACCCAGCCTATGCTGCCCAGGCTGGTCTTGAATCCTGAGCCCAGGTGATCCTCCCACCGCGGCCTCCCACAGTGCTGTGATACAGGCATGAAGCACCAGGCCCAGCCACTTCCCGGGTTCTTGATGGTTTACACTTCTTACTTCTAGTCCTTTCCCAAGACTCCTCCATATTCCTGGCCCTGTGTTCTGCGATGCCTCCTCTACCTCTTTATTGAAGCTAGTTTGTGTTGTTTCTGGTATGTATAATCAAAGAATATTAACTAATATATATTTGGCAATAAAGAGGAGTAAAGTTCCCTGGTAGCCTAGTGCCTAGGATTTGGCACTTTCACTCAAAGAGGAGAATAAAAGACACCACCCTCATTATCTACAAAAAGATGACTGATTAAATTACGATACATTCATTCAGTGGAGTATTTTGCAGCCACTGAGGACAATACAGTAGATTGAATCGTCAAGACACTACTAATGAAGAAAAAAATCAAGTTATAATTTGTATATATAAAGTTATCATCTGTAAGGATTATGTTCTGGAGTTTTTTTTTCTTTTTCTTTTTTTTTTCCCAAGCATTTCTATACATAAAGGAAAAAAATCCAGAATATATTAAATTATTCATAGGGTTATCTCTGGAGGCAGTGGGACCATCAGAGACACCTCTGTTATATATTTCTGTATCTGTCGCTTTATAATCAGAAAAAAAATAGATTAAATAAATCCATTACTGTATGCAAACAATCCCCATAAACGTGATATTTTCTCTACTGATTTGTTGTTTATTTTTACATTAAAAGGACTAAAAAAAATTTTCCTTTAAAAAATTAAAATTTCAAGACTCTTAGCCAGTTTGTCATAATTTACCTCCATAACCTTTTTCCCTGTCCATTCTATTTTAAAATACAAACACACACAATTTATATTAGGACGAGGAATCCAAACAAAAGTAAAGACAGATGTGGGGTCAAATAAATCTCACGATGGCAAAATGAGGTCAACTGAGAAAGCGGTATTAGACTACATCAAGAGAAGTCACGGTGGACTCAATCTCAGAAGCCTCAGAAGGATTAGAATCACTCAGGAGAGAGGCAATAGAGATTTTTTAAATTAAGTATTATAAATGAGAGAATAAAATCTTTGAGGTAATGGAAGTCAAAATGACAAGAAAAAATAGGTCTGAATAATGGAACTGGGTGCAGGAAACTGGCAAACTGAACTATGAGCAGGAGTGTGGTAGTTATTGAAGCTGCTCACTAAATGTTCTGCATCACCTTTCTGGCATTTGGAAGACCTCACGTTCTTGTCCCTTTAAGGTTAAGCAAAGTCATGTGATTTGCTTTGGCCAGTGAAATGTGATCAGAGATTTTAAGTGTCACTTTCAGGCAGAAATTTCAGGAGCTGATGCTCAGTTCTTCACTTGACACAGTAGATACATCAAGTACACACATAGGGCACTAACCAAGGACGAGTGTGTGTGTACACACACACACACACACACACACACACACACACAGGAAAGTCTAGAAATAAACTATTTTAATTTCAGCTGTCATGGAAGTTTTGTGTCATTTCCCCAAAAAACATAAATTTTATTTTATAATTTAGTTTTGTTTTTACTTAGAATTATTTAAGAAAAGGGGGAGCTGAGTGCAGTGGTTCACACCTGTAATCACAGAACTTTGGGAGACCAAGGCGAGTGGATCACTTGAAGTCAGGAGTTCAAGACCAGCCTGGCCAACATGGCGAAACCCCATCTCTATTAAAAATACAAAATTTACCCGGGCGTAGTGGCATGTACCTGAAGTCCCGGGAGCATAGCTTTGGCTGGGCGCAGGGCAGTGGTTCACCTAAGGTCAAGAGTTCAAGACCAGCCTGGCCAATATGGTGAAACTCCATCTCTACTAAAATACAAACATTTACCAGACATGGTGGTTCGTGCCTGCAGTCCCAGCTACAAGGGAGGCTGAGGCAGGAGGATTGCTTGAACCCAGAAGGCAGAGGTTGCAGTGAGCCAAGATCATGTCATTGCACTCCAGCCTAGGCGAGAGAGAGAGAGACTGTCTCAAAACAAAACAAAACAAAACAAAAACACATAGCCTTTTTAACAGTATAATTAAATTAGAGAGTTCCTTATATTATTCGGGAGGATGGAAGAGATACTGGTTAACTTTACCTTGTTAGACATGCATGTCAGAGCGAACATAATGGATGAAAAAATATCCAAATTTGCAAGAGAAAAAAAGGGGTAAAGAGGAAGTACAGGAATAAAGTAGGAGTAATCCAATAAAAGGAAGAAAGAAAGTGAAAAGCTACAGGGGACGACAGCTCATGCCTGTAATCCCAGCGCCGTAAGAAGCTGAGGAGGGTGGATCACCTGAGGTCAGAAGTTTGAAACCAGGCTGACCAATGAAGTGAAATTCCATCTCCACAAAAAATACAAAAATCAGCCAGGCATGGTAGCACATGCCTGTAATCCCAGATACTCAGGAGGCTGAGGCAGGGGAATCACTTGAACATGGGAGGCGGAAGTTGCAGTGAGCAAAGACTGCACCACTGGATTCCAACCTGGGCAACAGAGCAAGACTCCACCTCAGTCAGAGTAAAAAGCAAAGAAAAAGCACAGAAAACAGGAAATAAAAAATAAAACAGGAAAAATAAGTCCAAGAATGATCAGAGTAACAATAAACATATTGAACTCAAAGACTGACAGACTGGAGTAAAAGCATACTGCTGTTTATAAGAGATACACCCAAAATAAAGTAACATATATAAAGGCTGAAAATAAACAGAAGACATGTGAGACAAATAGCAAGCAGCGATATTAACATATTACAGAACTTAAGAAGAAAGCATTTGTAGAGATGAAAACAGCATGTATGAGGGACATAATCTAATAATAAAGCAACTCAACAAGTAAATATAATAATCATATACCTATATGTAGCTAATAGAGCCTTTGGATAAAACAAAAATCAAAAGCATTTTAAAGAAAAGTTAACAAAACCAAGAATCATGAGATGTAAAAATATTTCAGTAATTAGATCACAAGGGTTAAAAGAAAAAATTAGTTAAGATACATAATTTGAATAACACAACAGGCAACTCTGACCTAACTGAAAAGCTTCTGAACCCTTGAAAAGAATAACTATTTTATTGCATATGTACAGAATATTCACAAAAATTATCACATAGAACAATACAAAGAAAGACTTTACAATTCCTTTATTTTTTTTTCTTTTTTGACCTACCATCTCAGCTGTATACAATTCCAAAGAATCAATAACAAATATACCTTATTCTTTAACAATAATGTTTAATAAATTTAGAAATCAACACTTATAATTTTATTAAGTTCAAAGATTTTCCTTTTCTACTTTCTTAACTTTAAATGATTACAGTGGTCAAAAGAAATAGGCTTACCTTGTGAGTGCTGAGGTTTCTGGTTTCATTGAGATCCAAAAACATGTCCAAGTCACATCCTAACTTCCCAAAAGTATTCACTGAGGAGCCAAAGGGTCTGACTATGCAGTCCGGGAAATAAGCGGCTGCTACGTCTTCAATAAGAGAACAGGTGAGATATCGGAGCTTAGTGTTCTCCTCTGTTAGCTGGAACTCCTTCAAGAGAGTGTTCAGCTGATCATCAATCTAGCTGGCCAAAACAAAACAACAAAAGATAGAAAACGTACAGGTCATATAAAAGACTTACCATTTACTTCAAAAGATTTGGTGGCTTTGGAGACCTACCTTAGAAATATGCAAGGCCAGCACAGTGGCTCACACCAGTAATCCCAGCACCTTGGGAGGCCGAGGGCGGCGGATCACTTGAGGTCAGGAGTTGGAGATCATCCCCACCAACATGGAGAAACCCCATCTCTACTAAAAATACAAAGTTAGCCAGGCGTGGTGCAGGACACCTGTAATATCAGCCACTCGGGAGGCTGCAGCAGGAGAAATCGCTTGAACCCAGGAGGCAGTGGTTGCAGCGAGCTAAGATCACGCCATTGCACTCCAGCCTGGGCAACAAGAGCAAAACTTCGTCTCAAAAAAAAAAAAAAAAAAGAAATATGCAATATTTTTTTTTTGTTCAGTCTTAAAAGTGGATTAAAAAAAATACTCTTTAAAAAGCACTGAGGATGCCGGTGGGTGTGGTTGCTCATGCCTGTAATCCCAGTACTTTGGGAGGCCTAGGCGGGAGGATCACATGAGGCCAGTAGTTTGAGACCAGCCTGAGCAACACAGCAAGACCTCATCTCTATTTCGTTAAAGAAATAAATTATAGAATATTTAAAAATTTTCAAAAGCTCTGAGGAATGCCATTAGCAAAATAAAAATTGGCTAGAATTAAAACTTTGTAAGCAATGAATATAAAGTATTGTTTCAGGAAAGTGAAAGTACTAGCACACCCCAGAAGACGTCAGAACAACCATAAAGCAGACATTTTAAACCCAAGGGGATGAAGGACCAATGTTAAAGGGCAAGAAAAACTAGAAACACTTAAGTAATGAAGGTCCAGCACCTCTCAGTTTCTCAGAATAACAATCCTGTCTATTCACTAGAAGACTGGCATTAAAATGATACCATACTGAAACTGTGAAAAGTATCTGAAATGAAAAAAAAAAAAAAAGATAGCTTCAAATCCTCTTATTTGAAACTAACACTGAAAATATCAACTGGCTAGGCACAGTGGCTCACACCTGTAATCCCTTGGGAGGCCAAGGCAGGAAGATTGCTTGAGCTCAGGAGTTTGAGACCAGCATGGGCAACATAACAAAACCCTGGCTTTACTAAAAATATACAAAAACTAGCTGGGCATGGTGGCATGCATATCTAGTCCCAGCTACTCAGGAGGCTGAGGTGGGAGGGTCACTTGAGTCCAGGAGTCTGAGGCTACAGTGAGCTGAGATTGCACCACTGCACTCCAGACTGGGTGACAGGGCAAGACTCTGTCTCAAAAAAACACAAAATAACTGAACTAAGCATTCAACTCAAAAATAATTAAAAAGGTCAGGCTTGGTGGCTCACACATGTAATCCCAGCACTTTGGGAGGCCGAGGAGGATGGATCATGTGAGGTAAGGAGTTCGAGACCAGCCCAGCCAACATGGTGAAACCCTGTCTCTACTAAAAATACAAAAAATTAGTCAGGTGTGGTGACTGGTGCCTATAATCCCTGCTACTTGGGAGGCTGAGGCAAGAGAATCCCTTGAACGTGGGAGGCGGAGGTTGCAGTAAGCTGAGATCACGCCATTGCACTCCAGCCTGGGCAACAAGGGCGAAACTCTGTCTCAAATAATAACAACAATAAAAGCAAGTATAGGAAATAGATTAGAAGCAAAAATTTTCTTATGAGAAAATTAAACCTTAAAAATAGTATTTTGATAAAAAGCCGTGAGTTGATTCTCTGGAAAGACTAACAAGGTCTGGCAAGTCAGAGTAAGAAATACCAAGACAAATACAAACAATATTTGAACAGAGAAAAGAGACAGAATCTTGGGTCAGGGGCAGTGGCTCATGCTTGTAATCCCAGCACTTTGGGAGGCTGAGGTGGGCAGATGACCTGAGGTCAGGAGTTCCAGACCAGCCTGGCCAAAATGGTGAAACTCTGTCTCTAGTAAAAATACAAAAATTAGCTGGGTGTGGTGGTGCACTCCTACAGTGCCAGCTACTTGGGAGGCTGAGACAGGAGAACTGCTTGAACCGAGGAGGTGGAGGCTGCAGCGAGCCAAGATTGTGCCACTGCATTCCAGCAAACAAGAGTGAGATTCCATCTCAAAAAAAAAAAAGAGAGAATCAGAAAGAAGACATTTCAAAATGGACAGAAAACCATGTACAATTTTATGTCATTATGCTGGAAAGAGAAAGAAAACCTAAATTGTTCAAAAAGGCCCAAAACTTCGGAAGAATGTGGGAGTACAAACGGGGCATGGCGGGAGGAGAGGATTATTACCACTTTTCATTCAACATATCCTGCAATTTGAATTTTTTAAAAGCAATCCCATTTATTTATAGAGATATTAAAATGCTAATAAAAATATTAGCACAACAAATGCAATAATGTATTTTTTTAATATACCTTGACTAAGGTTTATTCTGTGAATGCAAGAATGACTTGACATGAGGAAATCTACAGTGAATCCACAGTTCACTACATTAAGACATGAGGAGGGGGGAAAAGACATTAGGAGAGAAACCAAATATCATCTCAAGATCATATGCCAGTCATCAAGATAATCTCAGTCAGGTGCAGTGGCTCACGCCTATAATCCCAGCACTCTGGGAGGCCGAAGTGGATGGATCACGAGGTCAAGAGATTGAGACTATACTGGCTAACAGGATGAAACCCCATCTCTACTAAAAAAAATTACAAAAAATTAGCCAGGCGTGGTGGTATGCGCCTATAGTTCTAGCTACCTGGGAGGCTGAGGCTGCAGTAAGCTGAGATCGTGCCACTGCACTCCAGCATGGGCGACACAGGGAGACGCTGTCTCAAAAAACAAAAAAGATAATCTCAAATGTCAAAACTCAACATCTGCTCAATGCTCAATGTGTTGAGCATGATGACATTCTTTTTATTTATGTATTTATTTATTTATTTTGAGACCGAGTTTTGCCCTTCTTGCCCAGGCTGGAGTGCAGTGCTATCTCGGCTCACAGCAACCTCCGCCTCCTGGGTCGAGCAATTCTCCCGCCTCAGCCTCCTGAGTAGTTAGGATTATAGGCATACGTCACTACACCTGATTAGTTTTGTATTTCTAGTAGAGACAGGGTTTCTCTGAGATCAGGCTGATCTCAGACTCCCAACCTCAGGTTATCTGCCCTCGGCCTCTCAAAGTGCTGGGATTACAGGTGTGAGCCACTGTGCCCAGCCCTGACATTCTTAGAAAGCTAGAAATAGAAAAAAAACCTTCCTTCATCACATTATGCATTCATTCCCACCATCCATCTCCGTAACTCTTTTCACCTTTTAAAACTGAAGATCTATATCAGTTAAACAGTAATGTAGCTTAAATATTTTACAGGAATCTTTATCATACATTAAAAAAATACACATCTCTATAAGTTGCAGTATACCTAAAAACTTACACTTTCTGCATCACAAAGTACTTGAAAAAGCTTCTTGCTTGAAGGTGGCAACTGATTACTCATCTGCACACATGACCGTTCAGAAGTCTGGTTTTTCAACTTTAGATTGAAGAAACGTGACCGGAATGGAATTGCTGCCTCGATGCCCTTGCTTGGAGCACAAGTCTCATTTTGCAGTGAATGTACACTTTCCTTCTGGCAAAATTCTACGACAGCATACAGACCCTATACCAAAAATATATGAAAAAAACCGAACACATTTCACAAAATATCTAATATATTTTAGCTCTTATTTTTACTTTATTTATTTATTTTTTTTTTGAGACAGAGTTTCACTCTTGTTACCCAGGCTGGAGTGCAATGGCACGATCTCAGCTCACCGCAACCTCTGCCTCCTGGGTTCAGGTAATTCTCCTGCCTCAGCCTCCTGAGTAGCTGGGATTACAGGATCGTGCCAAAATGCCCAGCTAATTTTTTGTATTTTTAGTAGAGATGGGGTTTCACCATGTTGACCAGGATGGTCTCGATCTCTTGACCTCGTGATCCACCCGCCTCTGCCTCCCAAAGTGCTGAGATTACAGGCTTGAGCCACCGCGCCCGGCCTTAGCTCTTATTTTAAAACAATTATCATGCTATAAAATATCAAGCTTTTAAAATTTACAAATGATATGATCCTAACACAGCACTATTTTTACCCATTTTAAGTAGATTAAGAAAAGGAGGAACACTGGGCTGGGCAAGGTGGCTCACGCCTGTAATCCCAGCACTTTGGGAGGCCAAGGCAGATAGATTACCTGAGGTCTGGAGTTCAAGAACAGCCTGGCCAACATGGTAAAACTTCGTCTATACTAAAAATACAAAAATTAGCCAGGCATGGTGGTGGGTGTCTATAATTCTAGCTATTTGGGAAGCTGAGGCAGGAGAACTGCTTGAACCTGGGAGATGGAGGTTGCAGTGAGCCAAGATCACACCTCTGCACTCTAGCCTGGGTGATAGGGTGAGACTCTGCCTCCAAAAAAAAAAGGGAGAGAGAAAAGAAAAGCTGAAAAGAATACTGAAGCAGAAAAATAAAAAAATCCAAAGGCAAAACAAAGATCCCCTCCCACTGGCTTCATCTCCAAATTAAAGGAACTATCTTAAGTATTCAAGCTGGGTGCGCTGGTGCAGGACTCCAGTCCCAGCTACTCCAGGGGCAGGAGGATCACCTGGGCCTAGGAATCGAGGTTTTAGTGCACTGTTATGGTACCTGTGAATAGTCTGTACTCCAACATGGGCAACATAGTGTACCCTGTCTCTTAAAAAATAAAATTAAGCATTCAAATAATGAAATCAGTCATAAATGACTTATAATCCTAAAATACTGCTCTAAGAATTTCCATTCTCATATCAAAAACAAAACTCATTAAAGAAATCTAGATAAGGAAGAAGCAGTATAGCAAAGAAAGCCTAACTACCATACTGCAAAAGGCAAAAGAAAAAACAACTAATGGAGACGACTACCCCGAAAAGCACAGACGTTAGGTCAGACTGTTCTTCAAATACTTACAAAGCTTTCATAGAAGAAATGATTATTAATAGGTCCATGCTGGGATAAATATTTAAGAAACTTTTTTTCACTGATTTTCTCTGGGCAATGTATTAAAACAGTCCGTTTTGCCTGTTCTCGTCTTTCATTTTGCATCTCAGAGAATCTCTTTTTGGGAATCTTGTCTTCAAAGCCTATGAATGAGACAAAAACATTTCCACCACACACACAAAATTTAAAAATATTTTGATAAGGTGTTCAAAGACTTTATACATGACTAAAAACAACTTTACCTAATCTATTATTTTCTTCTCTTCCTTTGTAAGTGTTAAACTATACTGCAGGAGTCCCCCCATTACCCACAGGGGTTATGTTCCACGACACCGATAAATGCCTAAAAACCTCAGATACTACCAATTCCTATATATACAATGTTTTATTTTACATATATACAGCTATGATGAGGTTTAATTCATAAATCAGGCACAATAAGAGATTAATAACAATGGTCTGGGCACGGTGGCTCATGCCTGTAATCCCAGCACTTTGGGAGGCTGAGGTGGGTAGATTACTTGAGGTCAGGAGTTCAAGACGAGCCTGGCCAACATGGTGAAACCTCATCTGTACTAAAAATTTAAAAATTAGCCAGACATGCTGCCACAAGCCTATAGTCCCAGCTACTGAGGAGGCTGAGATAGGAGAACCACTTGAAACCAGCAGGCAGACTTGCAGTGAGCCAAGACTGCACCACTGTACTCCGGCCTGGGTGACAGAGCGAGACTCCATCTCAAAACACAAAAACAACAAAAAAACCTTAACAAAATTCTGAAGAAATAGAACAGAAAATGTAAATTACGTATATACAGAAATCAGCAGAAACTTTTAGCCTCATTTTCTTCCAAAAGGCTATAAAGCTGATGGATCAATGAAATACTCCATACCCATTATTTTACTATCTTTTTTTAAAAAAAAAATTTAAGAGACAAGGTATCCCTCTGTTACCCAGGCTAGAGTGTGGTGGCACAATCCCAGCTCACTGCAATCTCTGCCTCCCAGGTTTAAGTGACTGTCATGCCTCAACCTCCCCAGTAGCAGGGATTACAGGCATATGCCACTCCTGTCCAGCTAATTTTTATGTTTTGTAGAGACAGGGTTTTACCATGTTGGTCAGGATGGTCTCGAACTCCTGACCTCAAGCAATCCTCCCTCCTTGGCCTCCCAAAGTGCCAGAATTACAAGCATGAAGCCACCATGCTCAGCCTGAAAATACAGCTTTTAACTATGTGCCTTCACCTCCATTCCCAACGACAATTCTTTAACATCAATCTCTTATTTTAGGCCTCTATCACAATAATCTGACTCCTAAACTAGTCTCATTCACTCTAGTTTTGTTTTTCTCAACCTATCCTCCACATAACTGCCAAAGTGTTCTTTATAAAATGGTCTTTTTGGCAGGGCATGGTGGCTCATGCCTGTAATCCCAGTACTTTGGGAGGCGGAGGTGGGTTGATCACGAGGTCAGGAGATGAAGATCATCAGGGCCAACATGGTGAAACCCCGTCTCTACTAAAAATACAAAAAAATTAGCTGGGTGTGGCGGCACATGCCTATAGTCCCGGCTACTCGGGAGGCTAAAGCAGGAGAACTGCTTGAACCCAGGAGGTGGAGACGCATTGAGCCGAGATGGTGCCACTGCACTCCAGCCTGGGCAACAGTGCGAGCCTCCATCTCAAAAAAAAAAACCGGGGGCGGGGGGTGGTCTTTTGTTCTTAAGTCTTTTTCTTTGACTTCCCTGCTTAAATCCTTTAATAGCTTCCCCAATGCGTTTAAGGTCACATCTAAACCCCATAGCCTGGGTATAAAGTGCTTGCACCATGTCCCAACCCTCTCTTTCATGTCACTTATACCATTTCTTTCTGTTGCACTTTTCACATATGGTACTCTACACACACAATACTATCACATACTATGAACTACCTATGTCTTCCTCCTTCTGGTTGGAATCCCCACCTTCGCATTTTCTGTCTGGCAAACTCTCATTCATCCTGCAAATCTTGCTTAGGTCTGTGAAAACTTCTGACTTGTCATGGTAGAATCTTTTCCACCTCTTTATTACCTAATTTTAACAACTATGAAAGCGTATAATTCACAGCGTTATATTTATTTACTTAACAATATGGAAGAATACCTTCTTGTTCTTCTTCTTTTTTTTTTTTTAAGAGACAAGGTCTCCCTCTGTGTCCCAGGCTGGAGTGCAGTGGTACAGTCCCAGCTCACTCCAATCTCTGCCTCCCAGGTTACGGCAATATGGAAGAAGAATACCTTCTTCCATACTGAGGACAGAGACTTTTCCGTGTGATCTCAGTCTACCGACTGTCCTTCCTCCGAGTGGTCCTTATTTCCTTCTCTTATGCTACAGGCTCTGCCTAGACCATCTTACCATTTTTTCAGTTGTGACTGCCACCTACACACTCTTGTCTCTGACTTTTACTGAGTCTAAACTGATATCTAACTGCTTGTTGCAAAAGTAAAGTCAAACAGTGTAGAATTTTCTTTTTAATTTTTGAGACAGTCTTGCTCTGTCACCCAGGCTGGATTGCAGTGGTGTGATCTTGGCTCACCACAATCTCGGCCTATGGGGTTCAAGCAATTTTCCTGCCTCAGCCTCCCGAGTAGCTGGGATTACAGGCACATGCCACTGTACCAGGCTAATTTTTGCATTTTTAGTAGAGACGAGGTCTCACCATGTTGGCCAAGCTGGTTTTGAACTCCTGACCTCAGGTGATCTACCTGCCTTGGCCTCCCAAAGTGCTGGGATTACAAGCGTGAGCCATGGTGCCCAGCCCAAACAGTGTAGAATTTTCTAAAGTAGAAGCATAAGTTTTCCCCCAGTCCTCTTACCCTAACAGCCAACCATTAAGTTGTGGTACTTATCTTTTCAGACATTTTCAAGGCATATGTAAACATATACATATAAACATCTTTTACACAACTGAAATTTACTGAAATCTTACTATATATTCTATTCAGTAACATGCTGTAAGATATTTAATGCACTGGAGACATCTTTCCATATCAGTACATACATATTTATTTCTTTTAAAATATATACTCTTAAATATATCACAGTTTAGCCAAGTCTCTATTGATAAATATTTAGGTGGTTTACTGCTTTTCACTATTACAAACAATACAGCAATGTTATCTGTATGCAATGTCTTTGCACATCTATGCAAATATATCCCTGCAGGTGAATGGCAGGCAAAGAGCAGGGATTACATTTGAGAACAAGATAGAAAAGTTTGATTGAAAAAATGGAGCAATGTGCTTGAGAAGATGAAAAAGGCAGAATCTAAAGACTTGAGCAACAGCAGGTTAAGAATGACGCAGACACGATGACAAAGTTGTGAAGGCGGAACAAAACGCTGAGGTAATTTACAGCCTACCAAAGGTTTATCAAATCTATAAATAACAAAATTAAGAGGAAGAACTAGTAAGTGCTAATATTTTGTGACAGACTGAAATGTGCAATGGTCTTAAAATACGATATGGTAAACACAAATTAACGTTAAAAAAATGACTGAGGCCGGGCGCGGTGGCTCAAGCTTGTAATCCCAGCACTTTGGGAGGCCGAGGCGGGCGGATCACGAGGTCGAGAGATCTAGACCATCCTGGTCAACATGGTGAAACCCCGTCTCTACTAAAAATACAAAAAATTAGCTGGGCATGGTGGTGCGTGCCTGTAATCCCAGCTACTCAGGAGGCTGAGGCAGGAGAATTGCCTGAACCCAGGAGACGGAGGTTGCGGTGAGCCGAGATCGCGCCATTGCACTCCAGCCTGGGTAACAAGAGCGAAACTCCGTCTCACAAAAAAAAAAAAAAAAAAAAAAAAAAAAAAAGAAAGACTGAATAGGCCGGTGTGGTTGGCTCATGCCATTAATCCCAGCAATCTGGGAGGCAGAGGAGGGTGGATCGCTTGAGGTTAGGAGTTTGAGACCAGCCTGGCCAACATGGTGAAACCCCATCTCTATTAAAAATACAAAAAATTAGCCAGGTGTGGTAACGTGCACCTGTAATCCCAGCTACTCAGGAGGCTGAGGTGGGAGAATCGCTTGAACCTGGGAGGCGGAGGTTGAACTGAGCCAAGATCTCACCACTGCACTCCAGCCTGGGCAACAGAGAGACTCTCAAAAAAAAAAAAAAGAAAAAGGCTGAATACTATCTTTCATTTAGAATTAAAAACAAAATAAAGATGCACACACATGATGGGGGAAAAATTAACCTAGCACAGTTTTATATAAGAGGCCTGAACTGTTTTGCTATGAATACATTTAGATGGTAAAAAAGAAAAATTGAAAATAAAAGAGGTCCGAAAGTTTGATTTGATGCAGCTTGAAATGCATCAAAGGAATGTCTTAACTTCTGGACTGAGGATAGGAAGAGACTGAATATGTACATAAAACTTCGAGCCTTTTTAAGACAAATGTTTTCAAAAATCCAAATTATTGGTTGTTTTTTTTTTGAGACGGAGTTTCACTCTTGTTACCCAGGCTGGAGTGCAATCGTGCGATCTCGGCTCACCGCAACCTCCGCCTCCTGGGTTCAAGCAATTCTCCTGCATCAGCCTCCTGAGTAGCTGGGATTACAGGCACACGCCACCATGCCCAGCTAATTTTTTGTATTTTTAGTAGAGACAGGGTTTCACCACGTTGACCAGGATGGTCTCGATCTCTTGACCTCGTGATCCACCCGCCTCGGCCTCCCAAAGTGCTGGGATTATAGGCTTGAGCCACCGTGCCCGGCCTAAAAATCCAAATTTAAAGGGTAACAGTACTTCTTTGCTACTTACTAATCAGACCACATAGAGAGTATATGTTCTGCTCTGGATGTAATGGATATGAAGGATATTAATGAGCCAGAGTGCCTCCAGAGAGGAATAACAGAATGTCTAGAAACTCTAATATACAATCATTACAGAAAAAGAGGGAATTTACAGCCTGAAAAAAAATAAAAATAAAATAAAACAACAAACTAATGAGAATCTGAGAGCTGAGCACTGCCTTTAAACATAATACAGCACCTTCTCTTAGCAGCCTTCCAAGCACTGTCACATACACACTCTTCTGAACTTCACAACAACCTTTTAAGATAGATAGGATAGTTCTATCTTTAAAGATAGCCCTACCTTGGCTGCTGGCATCCAAACAGCAGCTAAACCTTGTTCAGGTAACAGTTCTGGTAATACTAGCACACACAGCACACCCCTGCTAGTAAAAAACCACTCGATGTGGTCGTGATGAAACTGTCACACTTACCCCCACCCCATGAGATAGGGATTATCAGACTATTTTGGGTACCTCCTCTTCATCCAAAGGGTTGGCATGTGATCAATCAGAAGCCCGAACGTGTGAACATCAAGCTGCTGGTGATGATCACCCCCACCATCATCATCCCATGTAGAAAAGTCTGAGATTATAAGGCCGCTAAACAATAGCTAAGGAAAATGAAAATACCTCACACTGACCACATCAATCCAATTGACCTTAAAGTATGATATATGTCTCTTTCTGGAGTTTGGCTACATAGATTGGTATAGTCTCCCTTTTCTACTCAAACTATTTTGAGTTAGTTTCTGTTACCTGTATCAGAAAGAATCCTGAATAATACAGTACACACTCTTGTTCTCTTTCTACTACAGCTCTTTCCACTAGTCACACGAAAGCTGTGTCAAAACTAAGACCAATGAGGAAATGGGAAATTAGCAGATTTTAACTCATTATAAATATTTTTCAACCATTAGAGCCTGACCAAAAATGGAACTGACTGATTTATGAAACAATGTTCCTTATTGCTATAAACTGTTACTAGGAATGTTTTGGTAATGAATCCTCACACTGAAAGAAAAACTGAATTGGATATTTCTCAAGTTCCTTCCAATTACAAAATTACACACTTCTAGGTGAGTATACGGCGTAGTTATCTGCTCTTTTTTAAAATAGTAAAGACATCCAAATGAGAATTTTGCTATTTGTTATGTCCCACAAGAATCCCCGAATATTCAGTCATGTTTTCCTAACGATATAAAATGAAACATTTCCTTAAAAAAGAAAAATATCAAAGCTACAGTAAATGAAGAGTATAGCCCTGGAATTAGAAGTGGGTTTTACTGGCCGTGGGTGCAGTGAGCCAAGATTGTGCCATTGCACTCCAGCCTGGGCGACAGAGCAAGACTCCGTACCGGAAAAAAAAAGAAAAAAAGGAATTTTACTCTTTTTGCCACTGAATACTTGAGTTTAGCTTGAACTACTCAAGCTACCCTTGGACTATCCTGTTTCTTAATCTATAAGATGGAGTATTAGTATTTCCTTCCACATCTATGCCGCAGGGTTGTTTCATGTCTCAAAGGGCATATGAACACACTCTCAAATTTAAACTCTTACACAAACGTTAAATTACAATAGTTTTTTTTTTTTTTTTTTTTTGGCAGAATCCTTAAATTTTCAGTGTTACTTAGAAATTTTCAACAGACGCAGCTTCCACTAAATACAATCCAATCAATAGTTCAATAAAACATCATATAAAGTAAGATTTCTCACTGCGTGTCAATATGTCTTTTTTACAACCTGATAGAGACAGCAGCTTACTTTAGGGAAAAATAGCTCCAAGGAGTCGTAGAAATCAATACATTTTGTTTGATGATTTGACTAAACGTCTAAATTAATTGAGCTAGTGACGTTGCCCAAGTTATTTAGCTCTTTGAGCCTTTTTCTACATCTGTAAAATGGATACAGTGGCCGGGCGCGGTGGCTCAAGCCTGTAATCCCAGCACTTTGGGAGGCCGAGGCGGGTGGATCACGAGGTCGAGAGATCGAGACCAACCTGGTCAACATGGTGAAACCCCGTCTCTACTAAAAATACAAAAAATTAGCTGGGCATGGTGGCGCGTGCCTATAATCCCAGCTACTCAGGAGGCTGAGGCAGGAGAATTGCCTGAACCCAGGAGGTAGAGGTTGCGGTGAGCCGAGATCGCGCCATTGCACTCCAGCCTGGGTAACAAGAGCAAAACTCCATCTCAAAAAAAAAAAAAAAAAAAAAAAAAATGGACACAGTGATACATTTCTTGCAATATTGTTTTAAGAACTGTAAATACCATATATAAGCTCTTGAGTCACAAAAGAGGTAACAGTGGCGTCTCAACAAAGAAGCATATTAATGTAGAACGAACGCGGGACAATAGCCTGTGGCAGTGAATGCAAATCTGTTACCAGACTGATATGGCTCAAAATGGCCAAAAAGAATAAAGTAAACGCCAGTAAACTTCACAGCTAGGAACCAAGAATCCTCGTCACGCATCAGGCTACACTATACTCGGCGTCCAGCAACAACTTAATGTATCAAAATCAGAAATATACGTAAATGACGAAGCGACAGGCTCAGGTGTGTAGCATCACTACCACTGGGAACGCTGCTCAGTCACACTGCAAAGTGCCAGCAAGCAGGGCTCCCGGAAGTCTAAACAAGTCCATTCCCGTACACAGGAGTCGCCCCCGAAGAAACGTCACACACCTCACTTCTGCCTCAGCAACGGCGGCGACCCTGGGTTCCCCTAGTGAGATCACAGGACAGGACAGGACACAGTCCCGCCCTCTTCCCAAAGGGTCCACGCCGTTTCCACAGACCGCGCGTTCGCCCGGGATCCCAGACTCTTCCCCCTTACCTCGGCCGCGGTGGGACCGGGCTACAGAACAAACCGAGACCGCGGCGCCCTCACCTGTCTCCACGCTCCCCGGAGGCTGCTCGTCTCTCCTGAGGTCTTCGGCCACAGTTCCTGGGCAACTCAGGAGCCTGAGGACAGGCCGCTGGACCCGAGTTCTTCTCTGGGTACATAGGTGCAAACGGGTCAACAGACCCACTCCGGGTACCGCCATTGTTAAAAAAAAAAAAAAAAAAAAAAAACAGCACATGCGCCAAGATGAAAGGTCAGTGCATTTCCGCGCATGCGCCCGGAGCGGAAGCAATGGGAAGCCTCGAGGGTCAAACTAGGCGAAAGAAGTTCGCTTTTAGAAGAAACTGAGGCCAAAATGGCCGAGCTTTCGGACACGGTTTACTTTCTACAGTTCTCCACATGAAAAGCTCCGTACAAGGAGCTTGCCACCTACTCTTCAAAGAGCGTCACGAAAATAGAGCCAGAGCCCGGGCGCAGTGGCTCACGTCTGTAATCCCACCACTTTGGGAGGCCGAGGCGGGTGGATCACCTGAAGTCGGGGGTTCGAGACCAGCCTGGCCAACGTGGGGAAACCTTGTCTCTACTGAAAAAATACAAAAAATTAGCTGGACATGGTGACACACGCCTGTAATTCCAACTACGCAGGAGGCTGAGGCACGAGAATCACTTGAACCCGGGAGGCGGAGGCTGCAGTGAGCCGACATGGAGCCACTGCACTCCAGCCTGTACAACAGACAGAGCATGACCTTGTCTCTAAAAAAAAAAAAGTTGAAATAATGGAAAGGCCTTTAACCTCTGAAAGGGGCACCAAGAGCAGGCAGGACATCATCTTCTTCCTTGAACCATGTGAGGACATTTTATAACCTCTGCCAAGATGCCTCGCTTCAAATTAAAATTAAAGTGGTTTTGCCAGCCCCTCCTCCAAGTGAGAAGTGCATACTTCATCTTAAAGCCATAAGAAAGGCATTGGAGAGGACTGGTTCAGTCTTCTCATTTTGGGCACGAGAAAGTTGGGCACAGATCAGACAGGGACTGGCCACAGGTCACACCTGGGGAGTCACAGATTAAAGTCAGAGCTCTGCCCTTGATTCAAAGCTCTTCCTCAGTGCCTGTATCCCAACCAGTGGTCCTTGCTCTGGTGCCTGGGAAACGGACATACGGAACAGAGCAAAGAAACCTACAACTGAAGGCTGACTCCCGGCTGCCCCCTCCTCTCCTTGACCCAGCACTTTTCTGCCTCACCCATCTGGTCCATTCTGGACTGGAGGCTCAAGGTGGTAAAACCGCCAACTCTGTGTGTGCTGTGTGTGTGTGTGTGTCCCAAGGGAACAGAGCACTGCCGAGTTCAGGCTGATCATTAGCTCGTGAACTGTCAGCAAAATACATTCACAAGAAGGCTATGTGCTGTTTTGTCTTCTGCAGTGATGTCATGTTGCTCATGTTTTGTGTTTCTCAGAGTTCACTAGTTTCTGTTTGTTCTCAGTTAATATCCAGCTCAGTAGATTGCGTAAGTAGAATACCCTCAAACTGAAAGTCACATACATAAAATATGGTGAAAAATATGTCACCCACTTAACCTATAGTCGAAAATATGTGCATATTAATTTTGTGTAGCCAATACTGGATAATGGGTAAGGGCACAGGATCCCAGGGCTAGACTGCGGGGTTCAAGTTCCGACTTAGCCACTTGCTGGCTGTGAAATACTTGACAGCTTTAAGCCTCAGTTTTTGGGGTTTTTTTTTTTTTTCCTTTAACTTAATCCCAAATGTGATAGTAAGCCTCAGTTTCTTGATCTGAAAAACAGATGCTACTCAGTGAGAGTCTGTGAAAACTTTAAAGTACACTGCCTGGCTCAGCAAAGTCCTCAGCTTTAGCCGTTATTAGCTATGATTATTATTGTGTTGGCTACACATGCATTAATGAGGCAAGAAAATGCTCAAGGATAATAACCAAGTACCCAAATTATCTCATCAGACCGAGAGAGATGCCAATGTGTGTATACTCGTGTTTCAGGTCAAAGCCCTTTATCTAGAAGGTTCTTAAACTCAGAGGCCCAGGCAGTATCAAGTTGACTTTGCAGTGGAGCCATCACTTTTGTTGATCGATGAAATTGACATAATGCTCTTTTTTTTTTTTAAGCACCAACCACATGCCTAGAGCTGTCTGTGTCAAGAAGAGCATGCTTCAGTTGGCTGGAGTGAGCAATTCAACTGGTAGAAGAATGAGAAATGATAGCATTGAGACAAGAAACATAAAACCCCAGGGGAAGGTAGGAATCACTGACAGTCAGACAAAAGAACTGGTGTCCAGTAATGACTCAGGCTTCGCCGGCCTCTGGCCCTGCAGATGGCTCTTTGGAGAGGAAAAAGTTCAGCCAGGCCTAAGGCCACAGATCCTAAGGGACTGCTGGCAGCTCTAGGCTGTCTATGGAAGAGAAGCAGAGGGTGGCACCTGGTTGAAAGAGGGGGCTGGGGGACATGGCTTGAGCCTGTGTTTACAGATGGAGTCCCCTGATCCCTGAGACTGAGATGGGGGAAGGAGATCACGCCTGGATCAGGAGATCTCAAACCAGAACTCTTCCCACCCACACCCCCTACATTTTAGGGCGTCTTTGACTGCAAACAACAGATAAATTAGTTGGAAAGGTTGGCAGATTCTCCTGATGGTGCCTAGCAGGCCAGGCCTAGCTGCCTTTTAAACTGTGACTGGGGGTGATGCCACTGGCCCATAAGCACACACTGGAAAATGTTTACATCCATAGACACGCCATGCCCTACAGAGAGAGCTGTGCAGGGTCTTTATGTTTGGGGTGCTGTGCTGGCATGTAGCTTATAAATACGTAGAATTGGCTGGGCGCAGTGGCTCACGCCTATAATCCCAGCATTTTGGGAAGCAGAGGAGGGTAGATCACAAGGTCAGGAGTTCGAGACCAGACTGGCCAACACGGTGAAACCACGTCTCTATTTAAAAATACAAAAATTAGCTGGGCGCGGTGGCTCATGCCTGTAATCCCAGCTACTTGGGAGGCTGAGGTAGGAGAATTGCTTGAACCGGGACCCGGGAAGCGGAGGTTGCAGTGAGTCAAGATCGCGACACTGTACTCCAACCTAGGCTGCAGAGCAAGACTCCATCTCAAAAATAAGTAAATAAATACATAAATTAAATAAATAAATAAATAGAATTGAAATGGGATGTCCTGGAGCTTAGCTAACCTTTATTTAGCCCCCCCCCACCCCACTACCTAAAATGAAGGGGCTGCTAGTCTTGTTTGCTTTATGAAAGATGGACCTATCATTGTTTTAGAAGGATTTATTGGGAGGAAGCTATCCTGAACCATCAGAGACTTTTCTCATTTACTGGCTCACTAGCTTTAGAGTCCTAGATCTTCATTCCGGCTCAGCCACCCTTCAGCTGTGTAGCCTTTGAGACGTTGCTTGACTATACTGAGTCGCTGTCAACTACGAGTGGAGGTGATAACATTGCTACTGTATGGAGCACCTACAGGGTGATGGTGAAGACTGAATGAAATCATAAGGCCGAAGGAGGAGGATTGCTTGAAGCCAGGAGCTCGAGACTAGCTGGGCAACATAGCCAGGCCTCATCTCTATGAAAATGTTTTTTAAAACAATTAGCTGGACTTTGGTGGCTTATGCCTGTTGTCCCAGCTGCTCGGCAGGTGAGATGTGACCACTTGAGTTCAGGAGTTTGAGGCTGCAGTGAGCCATGATCGCACCACTGCACCAGGCAACAGAGAGCGATCCTATCTCAAATAAATGAATAAGAAATAAATAAATACATGAAATAATGCATGCAATTAGTACACTAGCACATGATCAGGCACATGATAAGTCCCCTAGAAATGGTAGCCCCAATAAACTTTGTAATGTTTTGAGAGAGGGTGTCCTTTGGACTCAGCCCAGTGACAGAAGTGTTTGAAACGACTGAATTGTATGATGGCTATTCCCTACAGGTACACACCTGTGCCTTCAGGGACCCAGGGCATTGGCTCAGTGGGGCACCTTATTCTATTTACTCTTGATTTGGGCAGCACTGATTCCCCTAGGGTTAAGCAGGACTGCCACTACAGGCTCAATGGCCAAGGGCATCCTCCTTCCCAAGATAGCCACAGGAAAGCCACCTGCATCATAAGACTACAGGAAGTCAAAGGGAATAAAAAGCACAATTTAGCCGCCTACTCTCCAGTTGATGGGCAATAGGTTTTTTTCTATTTTGAACAGAGCTGTTAGGACCATTCCTTGTCCACATCCCCTGTTTTATATAGGCAAGAATTTCTCTTGGATGTAGAGTAGAATTGCTGGGCTGGGAGGAGTGTGAACCTTATGAGATGGAGCCAAACTGTTTTCCAAAGTGGTCAGAGCAGTACACACTCCCAGCACTGGTCCTTAAGAGATCTCAGAATCTCGATCTTCTGTGATGTCACAAGCAGTCAAAAAGAATGAGCGCCAGCTGTAAATAATAAGATGAATGTTAACAATATAATATTAAGTGCAAAAAACCAATTCCAGAAGGATGTATACAACATATCTTATATAACTTGGAAAACAGCTGAAAAGAAAATGTATATATAGGCCTGGCATGGTAGCTCATGCCTGTAATCCCAGCGCTTTGGGAGGCCAAGGCAAGAGGATTGCTTGAGGCCAGGAGTTCAAGACCATCCTGGCAACATAGCAAAACCTGTGTCTTCAAAAACTAGAAAAATCAGCCAGGTGTGGTGGTGCAGGTTTGTAGTCTCAGCTACTCACGAGGCTGAGGGGGGAGGATCTCTTGAGTCGGGGAGTTCAAGGTTACGGGGAGCCATGACTGCACCATTGCACTCCAGCCTGGGCAACAGAGTGAGACCCTGTCTCAAAAAAACTGTATCAAAGGGATCCCTAGGGGAATAGAGACATCTGTACCCACATTTCATAGCAGCATTAGTCACAGTAGCCAAAAGGCACATGCTGCAGCATGAGTGAACCTTGAAGACATTATGCTAATTGAAATAAACCAGGCACAAAAAGACAAACATTGTATGATTCCGCTTGCAGGGGTTATTTAGAGTAGTCAAACTCAGAAATAGAAAGTAAAATGGTGTGGTGATTGCCAGCATCTTGGAAGGAGGGGAAAACGGAGTTATGGATGGGTGTAGAGTTTCAGTTTTGCAAGATGGAAAGAGTTCTCGGAGATGGGGCACAGCTGCGTACATGCCAATTTGGTTGCAAGTTGGCCACTCAAAATTTCTGATCTCTACTTTTTAATAGAATTGATCCAT